TTTTGTTTAGGCTTGGGAAGAACAATGCAAGCTTTTTTACAAATAATTTCAGCTGGATGTACGTTGGTGGGCGGGTGTTGAGAGTTACTAGGCGGCCGTACAACTTGATGGGCGGGCCGCCCACCTAAAACCCCTTGTGGAGAACACTGTATCTTTAATTCTCTAATTTTGGTGAATAGTTTTGTCATTTTTTGTAAAAAGTGATATTTTCGACTTCTTGTTAAAAACCGCAAGTCCAATTGCTTTGATACTACATATATAGGTACTACAAGTGGACCTCTCTCAGATTTGTTCATTTTGTAATGATATCTTTAATTCTCTAATTTTGGTGAATATTTTTGTCATTTTTGGTAAAAAGTGATATTTTCGACTTCTTGTTGAAAACTGTGAGTCCGATTGATTTGATATTACATATATAGGTACTACATGTGGACCTCTCAGATTTGTTCATTTTGTGATGATATCTTCAATTCTCTAATTAATTTATTTTGGTGAATATTTTTGTAATTTTCGGTAAAAAGTGATATTTTCGACTTCTTGTTAAAAACCGTAAGTCCGATTGCTTTGATACTATTCATATTGTTCATTTTCTAATGATGTCTTCAGTTCTTTAATTGAAATGTGCATTGCTAACAGCGGAGCTATCTCAGCCGATAGGCTGCTTGTTTGAAACTTCTTTTAGAATATACTTTCGTTACTAATAAAATGAAACAAAATAATTGTATTTGGCGCACAAGGTTCGTGAACAAGATTTTTTTGGAGAATGATGCGCGGTCTACTTATTAATCCAGCTAGAAAAAAAATGTATACAATTTTAGTGTCTTTCGTTTTGGGTGGTCCAACTGCCGGTGTTGAAAGTCGGCGTAGGTGGATTTTTCAATGAAAATATAAGCCCCTAAAAATATTTGATGATAATTTTTTGAAAATTTGAACCCCAAATTAGGGCTCACCAGCCATGAAACCGCCCAGGGCGATTTTTCTGATGGGCGAATTTACGACAGAATCGGGTACAAAAATAGTTGTAAATTTGTTGTTTGTACTAATACAACAGTTATAATCATGTCTGGGTGTCCAGAAATATTGGAATGGAATTCTGTTCATGTGACTAAATTTAAAAATGTATATGTTTAAATAATAAAGTATTTAAAAAGAAATTTATTTATATGCAAATCATATTTGTGGTTTTACAGATGCCTTTACATTGGACGAAGATGAGGTGAGTGAGGAAGACAAAGCATACAACAGAAAGAGGCCGACTGAAGTATCATGGGATAGTGATGATGATCTCTTAAAAGATGACCCTTTTCCAACTTTTGGCAAAAAGGTACAATCTACCGGTATAAATTTTGTGTGCAAATGAAGATTTTGTTGTTTATTTTCTGTTGTTCCCTTGTATCTTTTATATTCACGGAAATGTTATATCAACTTTTCAAATTCCACGTTTGAGATTTTACAGTTCATCCAGGTGTAGTGTATAGGGCTTAATTATTCATTACGTCTCATTTATATTTGTTTAACTTGGTATAAATAAATTTAAATTTAATCCTACAATGTACAAATCAGTGAATTAATTATTTAAAACATATCCCTGCTACATCAAGTCTGCTAAAAATGAACCTAGTGAATTTTTGCCTACTTTATTATACATTATAACTTTTGTTGAATAGTACGTGCACATTATATACTACCGTAAAAACTCGATTAATTCGCAGTCCCAATTAATTATTTTCGAACGCTAATTTTTAAATGTACCGTTAAAGTCCTATTATAAACCGCGGTTTATATTACAATGTATCAATTTAAAAATTGGGATCAAAAGCTCAAGTTCGGGGTGCGGTTTCTATTACGTACATATTGCAATCATTAAATGGGCGTGGTCATTTTTTGTCCACAACACATGGAACAATACAAAACAAACAATACACCGTACAATCTCTTGAATAGGCGTCAGGGAAGAGTGAAAGGCCTTATTTTGGTTCTAAAATAGGCGTTACGAAATGTTGAAAAATTACAGTCAATGAAAAAAAAATTCCACATGATATAAAAAATACTCAGTATTTTTAATGTAATATGCATTTATTTTTTTAATTTTCTTGGTAACGAAAAGTATATTCTAACAGAAGTTTCAAATAAAAACACGAATGCACTGCTTAGTAGC